TTCAGATGCCCGTCGCGGTCGTCAGGATGAGTTGGCTGAGGCACTCTACGTAGTTCATCTGCAAACGTCTGCTGACAGTTGGGGTCGTCATATTTCGCAGCATCGTGTCGGGGCCTAATCCATGTGACGGCTGGCTCGCACTGTTCTGCATGGCACGCATGCACGTCAGCTGAAACCACCAAATGATCGTCACACCCCATCGATAAGTCGAGGTCGATGTCCACCCCCTGTGTCGCAACTTTCGACGGCTGGCCCGTGGGGGCCGCACTGCAATCGATCATGCGCCTGGGGCCCTGACCCTGCGCCCCCAGAGGTAGCAGGGACCCGTGAATTCCAGAAAATCATTGCAGACGCGTAGACGGTGCGCGCTGTCCCGTGGCCCGCAAGAACTGGTGGAAACACGGCCCGCTCTCGCTCTCAACCTCAGGCGCCACATCGCCCGCGTGTTCCGACACCTGCGATCTCAAGGTCGCATTGACATCCAGAAAGCAGCGTAGCGGTGCTGGCTGAGATGGGCTGCTAACATGAGAGACCATACTACTCCACCAGCTCTGTATCTCTGTAAGTGGCCGACGAGAGTGCGGAGCGTACCCAACCATGACATCAGTGCACATGCCAGGCGCTCGTGTAGCTGCTAGTAGGTGCCGTGTGGAGTAACAGATCGCACGCGCATGTTTGCGTGCCGGCGCGCGTCCGCGCGCGTACTCATGCTGCGGATTAATCCAAAGAGCTACTCCATATTTGCCTCTGGGTTCTGCGGCTGCGGAGAGAACTGTGCAATCGCCTGCTGATGTCCGCTCATTCCGACGCAGCTGAATCTCCAGAGTGCCAAATAGGAGGAAGCAGCGAGGAGAAAGCTGATGAGCAAGCGCAAGCATGCGGCCAGGCAGATTGAGGCCAGCTGCATCTTGATATCGACACCGGATCCTGGTACCATGCCCTCTCGCAGCCTTCCTGGAGGCCCGCAGCGTGAGCGCATTCGCCGCTGCAACATGGACCTGGGGCGGCATACCTGACGTTGAGACTCTTGCGGCGCACGCAAGTTTTCCGCGCCGCGGCCAGGTGGCGGCGAGAAAGCCGTGCGTAGGTCCAGGGAAGACGGGTGGATGTCGGGCATCTCGCGCGCACCAGCGTTCGGATCAACCCCGAGACCGTCGTTGGACTGGGCGGGCATCCATAACTATAATGCATCAGCGGCAGCGTCAAGCAATGCTGACCACGGTTGAACGTCGGAATCTGCAGTCAGGGCTATGCCCATGGACGCAAGGCGAGCTATGATCTACAAGCTCGCTCAGTGGATGACCGTTGTGTCCCAAGACGTGTTCCCAGTGAAGCCGTGTAAACTGTCGCAGTAGCTTCAGAGGTCAGTCGAAAACCGAATGTCGGTCCCCACATGACGTATATCGCGCACCCCCGTCGGCCGATGATACCACCAGCTGGCTACCCGCAAACGCTTCGACTGGGAGATCACGAGACCTTTCAGGGGCTCGCAGCAGCCATAGGACCAACCTCAATGCGGCTTGAAATTCAGCCGCGCCCGACGGGCTGGCAACTGTGCCGGACAAAGACGAGTCGACGCCGCACATATACCCATCGCATATGTACCTGCCCGTCGTCGCAACTGAGAATATGCACCATGCCCAGGACGGGGGTCAACCCAGTTGTTGATGTTTGGATCCCCCAGACCCATCCGCGTACACTTCCAGTTTTACAACTTTGTCGTCTACAGAGGGGGGGGGCTCCGTGGATCTCAAAAAACTACGGGCGCTTCTGCGCAGATACGGATGACATAGGCACTAATCGGGCACTTGATGAGGCCCAAGAAGAACTGGGGTGAGGGAGGCGCTGACGGGCCAGGGCTGACGGAGGTGCCTGACAAGAGCGCTGCTATCGGGGACGGGGCAACGTGGTCGGGCTGGCTCAGATTCCATCTGAGGCTGCGAGGGTGGCGGCATGGCTGGCAGAGAGCCAGCTGCGGGCAGGCTGTGAGATGGCGGTTCAGGAATCTCACTCCTCAGGGCCTGCCCGCCTGGCCGCGTCGCCCCAGCGTCGACGTGCCCGACGCGCTCTTCCCGCCGTCCGCGACGAGGAAGCTGTCCTTGCAATTCCGCCTCGGCCCGTGGCTGCGACTGCGCCTCTGGCGGCGGGTAGCCATGCCAGCAGCGCCCCCCTCACCTGCCTCCGCGGCAACCTCGGCTCGCCCGGCGGGCGCGGGAGGAACTGCACCGACCGCGATGACTGGGCGCTGCCTCCTGACGAGCGATGGCGTCTCGCAAGCCCTGCAGTCCGTTTGGCTAGCGCGCTCGGTCGGCCTCCTGCTTTGCCCTCCTCGCCGCCGCGGCGCGGACCCCCAGTTCCTCGGCCGCGGGGCGCGCGCCCGCGGGCGGCTCTACCCCGGCCTCGCCGTCGACTGGGGCGGCGACTGCAGCGGCCGCGGCATGAGCGGCAGCTGCTCGGGCCGCCGCGTCGGGCATCGCGGCCGCGGCCGCCGCGGGCCCAGGCGGCGGGCAGGCGCGAGGCGCCGGCGCGGCAGGGCCGTCGGCTGGGGCAGCCGCGGGCCCAGGCGGGTCGGCGCGCAGCGCCGACGCGGCCGCGGCGGCGGCGGCCGCGGCAGCGGCAGGCGGGGCCGCGCCACCTGTCGGCGCCAGCCGCTGCGGCTGCCCCGCGAGAAGGCGCCGCGCCGGAGGCGGCCTCCATCCCCGCGCCAGGGCCAGCGGCCGCACGGACGGAGGTCATGTTCACCTGCAGCGTCGTCAGCAGATGCGCGAGCGACGTGAGCTGTCTGGTCAGCTGCGCTTGCCCCGCCTGCAGCGCCGCGATGGCGGCAACGGGCGGCGCCTGGTCGGGCGGCGTGCCTGGGACTGTTACAGACGCCGGTGGCGTGGGCGCGGCCGTCTCCATGTGCACGTCGGCGTCCATTGCTGGCCGCATCGCTTCCAGCTGGTCCAGCAGCGTCTTGGCCCCGACTGAGGGCCTGCTCCCGCTGCAGCACCTTGCGCTCCTTCTCCTCCAGGATGGCACGTGCATGTTCGGCAGCAGCATGGGCCTTGTCGAGCTTCACCTGACCGCTGAACGAAGGCACGCTGTCGATCACATCACGCACCTGGGGCCCGAGCTGTGATGATCATGCACAGCTGGACTGCTGGGCCGCATCTGCCCGGCGGTCATGCCGAGCTCTTCGGCTGCCTGCAGCTGCTTCCCTGTAGCAGCGGCCATCTGTCTGAGCGACCGCCCGTGGGTCGCGAGCTCCCTCTTTCATCTCTGGGGGGCTCGACCCACGCTGGATGCGATTGTGCGTCAAGTGGCAGCGCTGGCAAGATGCCCGACGCTGGGCTGCGAACCTCGTACTCAGCATCCGAAGCCGGGCCGCCGTCGGACTCGTCGTCGTCGTCTGCGAACCTCACGTGGGATCCTGAACGGGGCCTCGACACACTGGACTGGCGACGGCGTCTGCGGCGGGACCCAGAGCGCGGACGAGTCTCCCTGTGTTGGCTGTCCTGGCGTTGCTGGCTCGACTCGCCGCTGCCACCGCCGTCTTTGTGGCTGGGCATGCTATGGGGGAGCGGCGTGCACGTGCGGCACAGCAGGTCGGCAGGGCCGTTCAGCATGCCGCAGGTCTGACACCGCCATCCTGGAGGCGGCGGTGGCGCACGCCAGGGCGCACCTGCGACTCCAGGCGCTCCTGCTGCTCGGCCTTTGACTCTGTGTGTCCGCCAGAAGGTCCGGCTCCACCCTCGCCGCCTCCAGCTCCTTTCCCACGCACAGGGCCTGCACTGTGATGCTCGCGCGCCGTCGCCGCGGCAGCAGCCACTCGCAGCAGGGTGCGCGACTGCGTGCGCCGCTCGCGAGCTCGCCTGCGCCACGCCGGCTCGCACGCGCGCGGCTCGCGCGCCTGCCCACCCAGGGCGGGCTCGCTCGCCGTGGGCGCCCGACTCGGGGCGGCGCACGTCGCAGCAGCAGCACGGCTGGCCCGCACGCCTATGGCACAGCAAGGAGCGGGCTGGCGCATCTGGCCGCCGAGTCCCGAGGAGGCTCGCAACGCGTGGTGCTGGATACCAAGGCGCTGCACCCAAAGCCTCGAACCGGGACGGCGGCTGGCGGGACGGGAGGGAGGAGGGAGGAGAGAGGACCGACATCATCCCCCTCCCCCTCCTCCTCCTCCTGCTGCTCCTCCTCCTCCCTCCTCCTCCTCCTCCTCCTCCTCCTCCTCCTCCTCCTCCTCCTCCTCCTCCTCCTGCGCTCGTACCACGATCCTCCTCCTCCTCCTCCTCCTCCTCTCCCTCTCCTCCTCCTCCTCCTCCTCCTCCTCCTCCTCCTCCTCCTTCTCCTCCTCCTCCTCCATCTTCTCCATCTTCTCCATCTCCTCCTCCTCCTCCTCCTCGTCCTCCTCCATCTCCTCATCCTACTCCCCCCCTTCCCCCCGCCCTCGTTGCTTCTCTCCCTGTCCCCCAGTCTCATTACATACCACTCGGCTGTCCCAGTCCCACAGTTGCACTACGCGGCCAAGCTTGACGCCCTGACGTGCAATCGGCACAGACATGATCGAAACGCTTGGGCTGACACCAACAAGACACCATCGCCGGCAATTTCTGGAAATGCTGAGCCGCACACATCGCGTGTTGCAATGCAACGCGCAATTAGCATCCAAGCACATGCGGAAACCATAAACAGAGAAATGCATCATGCCGTAAACAATTCAGACCGTATCGGTCGCCATGCTTGGTTTCATTCATACAGTCGGGTGTTGTTGCTCAGCTTGTCCCAACGACAGCACCGACGACATGATATGCTCTGCAAGCGGATCGTGTGTCGCTCCGCTTCGTGAGCTGGGGGGCTGGGGAAAGATCGGCACGTGGACGCCTGGGGAGCGCGACGTGAATGACGTGTCGCGCCGAGGCGTAGTGGGCCAGAACCCGTGGAGCGACAAGCTGACCCAAAGTCCCCGACCGTACCGCATTGAAGCCTCTTCCTCCATCTTGGTGTCTTCCGCAGCCGGGTGCCTGGGACAAGTTCGCCGCGGACTCGATGTACCGCTCCATGCGCTCTCCTGCCGCCAGAGATTTCCCAATCAGAGCTGGCCTCTGCAGGGTTCCTAGCGGATTCATGTGGTTAGGTGAGGTTTGCCACCGATTTTCGCAGCCCGCACGGGTGCCCGGGCGCCCGGGTGTATAGCCCTATCGCCCTGGAGGGCCCCAAGGCGAGAGCGACGGGAAAGAAAGCAAGCAACGCAAGCAGGACTCCCGGATGCTGTCCACTGTCTCGCCGTATGATGATATAGACCCAAACACGATCGCGTCGTAAGATTAGCCTGGCGATGGAGCCAACCATATGCAGTTCTGATTGCTGCAGCTGTAAGTATCGTCGTCGGTGGAGCTCCCTATCGGGCCAAGGAACGTGTGAGGGGCGTACCGACATGGAGGTGGAACCCCATGCGAACCCTGCCACTGGGGTCTTCGGTGGAGCTCCTATGGGGCCACATAACGCGTAAGGGGCGTACCGACATGGGTGGAACCCCATGCGAACCCTGCCACTGGGGCCTTCGGTGGAGCTCCCTATGGGGCCACAAAGCGTGTGAGAGGTATGCCAAAATGGAGGTGGAACGGCATGCCACTGGGGAATCAGGTGGAGCTCCCTATGAGGCCACGAAGCGTGTGAGCGGTGTGCTAACATCAAGGCCGGAACCGCATGCGAACCCTGCCACTGGGGCCTTCGGTTGAGCTCCCCAACTATGGGGCCACGAAACGTGTGAGGGGTGCTACGAACATGAGCGGGAGGAGGAGAGAGGAAGGAAGGAGTGACGCGGGGCGCTGTCTCTTCAAACTAAGGACCCAACACCAAAGGATGGTAGGGAAAAATCAGGACGAGAATGTGTTCGCCGTGTTCAGGCCCTGGGGGCCAACGCCGGGCCTGGGGACCGTCAGAAAACGCCTCGGGACGAGAAGTCGGTCCTGGGGAAAAGGGTCGGGGCTTGCGGGGACGCCGTATTGAAAACATCAGGACTCCGCATGTCGGGGGAACTGGCGTCAGGTCGGGCATGTCCTCCTGCAGGCGGACTTCGGAAGACGAATAAAAAAGAGGTCATCATTATACATACCCGCAGACAGTTTAATGAGCACGCAAGAAGGCCACCAGCCTCTCATTGTTCTTTTCTGGATTACTCCTCCTGTAGAGGGACGTGCCCGACTGAAAACCCGCATCTGGGTGGCGGCAAGGTTCGCACCTGCCCTCACTGGCGAGCGCTGCTGGTGGGGACACCCCCTGGGGACACTCACTGGCAAGAGGAGGGGGAGGGGGCGCCTTTTGAAGCGGGAGGAGGGAGGAGGGAGGAGGGAGAAAGGAGGAGGGAGGAGGGAGAAAGGAGGAGGGAAATGGGAGAAATGGGAGGATCCAGTCGAGGTACTCCCAGAAGGAACGCGACATACTCAAGGAACGAAGCCCCTCCTTGCCCCCAGAGGCGCCTGAATGCACGAAGAAGGCCAGAGGACCAGCCACGGAATGACCCAAGGAACAGCCGGCCCCGTCCGAACCCAAAGCGGTCCTTCCTTCGTGTCTCCGAAGCGGGAGGGGGAGCCTCTGGAGCGCGAGGAGGACTGGGAGGACAAAGTGGCCGAGCTTGCAGAGAAGGCCGCGGATGAGAAAGCTGCCCGCTGTCCTGGCGTCAGCTTCTGGATCGAGCCTCGCCGAGCAGGCCGTCGCACGGAGCCCCGTCGTGCCGTGGAGCCTCGCGCATTCGACCCTCGTGGGCGGCCTGGTCAGGGCTCCAGGTGTGAGGGGGGGGCGGCTGGGGCGGAGGAGGAGGAGGAGGAGGAGGAAAAGGAGGAGGAGGAGGGGCAGGAGAAGGGGGAGGAGGAGGAGGGGCAGGAGGAGGGGAAGGATGAGGAGGATGAGGAGGAGGAGGAGGAGCAGGAGGAGGAGCAGGAGGAGGAGGAGGAGGAGGAGGAGGAGGAGGAGGAGGAGGAGGAGGGGGAGTACGAACTGCTCTCGGGCTTCTTCGTTGGATCGGGGTGGGGGGGCCCAATCCTGGGCGGGAGCGGCCCGGGGGACGCCCTTGTCGAAAAAAAAAGGTAGATCTGCGCATGTCTTGCCTCTGGTTCCTCGGTGCACCAAAAAAGCACCTAGATGACGGCGTGTCTTACTTCGAAGGTGAAGACATGTTGCTAGACCCTCACAGGGGTCGCAACTCTGATCTTTTGCTTATTGCTATCATCTGCTGGTTTCAATGTGCATATGTGTATATATATATGTATATATAACTATGTTTGAGCATAGAGGGTGAGGGGTGACAACACAATGAAACGGAGAACCCCCGACCAGAACATCGGTTTGTGTTTCGTCTTCGTGTCAAGCGTGCGAGGAGAAGCTGCGTGGGCGGGCGAGATGAATCAAGCCTCCTCGGGCTAGGGCGCTGCTGGGCCCAAAGACCGCACCCCCGCCCGGTTGTCTGGAATTGGCCGGGGGTGTCCCGTGGTGTCCCGATGGTGTCCTGTGGTTTCCCGTGGTGGCAAATCGGTGTCCCATCTGTGATCCGTCGGTATGCCATCGGCGTCCCGTTGGTGTCCCGTAGTGAAACTGATAGTCAGATCGGTCATGAGATCAATCGTGAGATCGATGGTGAGACCGAGAGTGAGGTCGATAGTGGGAGGGATAGTGAGATCGATCGTGAGAACGATAGTGAGGTCGACTGTGAGATCGATCGTGAGATCGACTATGAAGTCGAGCGAGAATGATCAGTTCTGAGATCGATTGTGAGAACGATGGTAAGATCCATCCAGAGGGTGGTCGTGTAGGTACCTATACGACCACCATTTGGGTAATGAGGAGGTTGGTGTGGGGGGGGGCAGGGAAGAACCAACATCTCACTCAATTGATATCACTATCGATCTCATTATCGATCTCATCATCGATATCACAATCCATCTCACTTCGTCGATCTCACGATCGACTTCAGTATCGATTTTACATTCGATCTCACGATCAATCGCACAATCGATCTCAACATCGTTCGCACTATAGATCCCACGATCGATCTCAATATAATCTCTGTATCGATCCTGCTATGGATTTAACAATCGATCTAACCATCGATCTCACACGGGACACCGATGCGGCACCAACTGGACACCGACGGGACACAGACGGGAAACCGACGGGCCATCACGGGACAACACGGGACACCATCGGGACACCACGGCGGGACACCACGGCGGGACACCCGTGGCCACCGCTGGAGGGGTACGGTCTTTTGGCCTGGCGACGCCCTAGCCAGAGGAGGGCTCATCCCTCTCGCCCGCCCACGCAGCTTCGCCTCACACGCTCGCGCGACACGAACACAAAACGGAAACCGAACACGAGCACAACATCGGAACGAATGCCCCTAAAGGAGGCTCTCCGATTCACTGCGATCTCACCCGCTCACCTCACATATATCGATCGGAAAAAAGGGGTTGAGATTACAGTGAAACGGAGAACCTCCGCCGGAAAATCGGCTTCGGTTTCATGTCGTGCGTGCGGGTGAGGCGAAACTGCGTGGGCGGGCGACACACATGATCCCGCGCTGGCTAGGGCGAATCCGGGCTCAATGTCTCTCCTCCCCCCGGTTGGCCAGCGACGGTTGTGGCCTGGGGGAATCCCGCCGGTGCCCCGTGGTGCTCCGCAGTGTCCGTGGTGTCCCGTGGTGTCCCGTGGCGCGGTGTCCCGCGATGTCCCGTGGTGTCCCGTGGAGGTCGATAGTGAGACCGATAGTGGGATCGATTGAGTGAGGTCAATGAGAACGGTAGTGAGATCGAGAATGAGATCGATACTGAGATCGATAGTGAGATCGAAAGATGGTGAGATCGATAGTGGGGTCGATTGTGAGATCGATGGATCGTGGTACCGCTCGGTAGGGGAAAGTCGACAGTGATATCGATAACGAGGTCGATCGTGAGATCGATATTCGATAAGCTAATGGAGACTGACATCGGTACTGTAGTCGATCGATAAGGTGAACGTGAGATCGATAGTGACTGTGAGATGGACAGGTAGCGGAAACGAGAGTGATCTTGGAAGTGAGGTAAATGTGGTATCGATTATGAGGACGAACATGAGATCGACGGCGTGGTCGAGAGATAATGAAGCCGATAGGCAAATAATGATCGGTCGTGGGACCGATAGCGGTCTGCCGTGGTGACCTATGGTGTCTTGTGGTGCCATGCGGCATTGCACTGACTTAACATTTGCTCCTAAGAGGGGAAAAGCGCCCAGGCAAACAAACGCCACCTGGTTTCGCTGGTTGACCGGATGCTTTTTGATGGGTGTCCCGAGTGATACAAAGATGGCCAACCAGACCTCCACCCCCACAACCTCCTTATCACCCAAAGGGCGGTCGTACACGTTCACTTGCATAAATGCTGTTGTGTTTGCACAGATCCTTTCTGAGTGTTTTCGGTGAATGGATTTCCTTGTGCATTACGTGCGGAGTGTACCTGGAACATACTGTGGTTGCTTGTGTTAAAACAGGCTTCTTACTTCAAACTGTAGCGCTTCATTTGATGTGAAGATGCCTTACTGTGATTAATTGTGCTGGTCTTGGTTGTCCCTGGGGACCGATAGCCGTTGGGTGATGCTTCGTACAAACATATTCATACACGTACGCGTGTTACATCTACAGTTGCTTATGCGCACCGTCGGCGCAGATACAATACACGTGTCCATGCAACGGGCTGGATCTTATGAGCACGGGGCCCGGTGGGCGGCTACCACATGTATGTCAGCACGTCTGTTTACTAGGTATACACGTATGAAGAATGCACTCGGCAAAACAAAACCGAACCTTATTACCGGCGCGTCCGCTGAGGAGCTCGTGCTTCGTCCCCAAGCAGTGCGTGCGCTCAGGAATTATTGCCTGGCTCTCGACTGGGGAGACCAGAAGGCACCTCTCCCGGGGTGCGTTCTGACCAGGATGTCGAGGCGAACCCAGCGGTGGCGACGAGGGCCTCCCAGGAGGCCGAAACAGGGGGAAAAAAACGGGCGAGGGGTAGCGGCACGGGCACCTTCTCCAAATCCTGAGGAGGAGGAGGAGGAGGAGGAGGAGGAGGAGGAGGAGGAGGAGGAAGGGGAGGCGGAAGGATAGGAGGAGGAGGAGGAGGAGGAGGATGAGGAGGAGGAGGAGGAGGAGGGAGGAGGAGGAGGAGGATCGACGAATTGGCTGGGTGGGTCCAGACGGTGCCCGCCCCCGGGGCGCCTCAGTGGCGGCCCCGTGCGCGGGCCGGGTCGGGTCGGCGCCTCGCCGCGCGCCCGCCGCTCGGACGCCGCTGCGGGCGCGCCCCGTGCGCTGGCGGGGTGGATCGGGGCTTCGCCTGGCGCCCTCGGGCGCCTCGGGCCTCGTGGGCGCGCTGGCCCCAGACAAGTTGCACGCAGGTGTTGCACCGCGTGGCTTGCACTTCATGTCGGCGGCGAGCTGGGGGTGGAGAAGTGAGGAGGAGGAGGCTTTCTCAGAAGGCTCGGAAGTCTCCCGGCCTTCTGAGGAGTTGCCCAAGCCTCCCCCGAGGACAGCAAGACCTCGTCAGAAGGCGCGAGGGCGTCTGACACGTCCCGCCACCTTCTGAGAAGGCCCTCTCCTTCTCATTTCACCCCCCCGCTCGCCGCCGATCATGAATTGCATGCACAGTCTAGCTTACACCAACTACCTCGCACCACATATCTTGCACCACACAGCTGGCACCACACAGCTCGCACCGCACACCTTACACCACACAGGCTGTAATACATACCCTCACGCTGCATAGATATTGCACCACGTAGCGCACGCCACATAGCTTGCACAACCTAGCGTGAAAGCGTACAAAATATAGCTTGCACCATGCACCATGCACCACCTAGCTGGCACACCCAGAATGGAAAATGGCCTTGTGTGGAGTCCACGCATGCAAACAGTATTGTACACAGTTGAGGGGGGTGTTCGGGGTATTCGCCTGTTGGGCGCCTCGCGCGCTGCCTGGATGTGACGTGGATTTGCCTTCTCCGCTCCCGTGTGTGCACCCGGCCAGCTTCTTGCACCACATAGATGGCTGCCCACGGATAACACCAAATATGTGTATACTTACACACGGTGTACATGTGTCAATGCTGCATCCGACAGATTGCAGCGCATCGACTTGCACCGCATACGATGCACCACCCCATGTGTTGCACTCATCTCGCTCGTCGAAAGTGCAAGAGCCTATTGCTGTTGTCGTCCGCGCTGGTTACCACCTTTAAGCGGCTCGATGGTCATCTGCATGCGTGTCCTCCCCGTTCTTCCGATCCTCCAATCCTCCCCTATGGTGCCCCGCTGCGCTCCCGAGTCTGCCCTCAAAGCGGGCCCGAGCAACAGTTCCCTCCATCCCACGGCGTTGCATGATGGGGGGGCGACAATTGGGGGGGGGGGGACTCGCGCACCTTTCGTGCCCCATGTTGGGCCTCCAGGCGGCCCCTCTAGGGCGTAGACGTGTGCACCACCTTTCTGCAGCCCGCCCATCATCGTTTCGCCCCCTCCACCCCCCCCCCCCGCATGCGCAACCCCCCGCTCCTCCTGTGTTTTCTTCTTCTCCTCCTCCTCCTCTCCTCCTCCTCCTCCTCCTCCTCCTCCCTCCTCCCTTTTCCCTCCTCTCCTCTCCCTCCCCCTCCTCCTCCTCCTCCTCCTCCTCATCCTCCGCCCACGGTCCTTCTCCTCCTCCTCCTCCTCTTCCCCTCCTCCTCCTCCTCCTCCTCCTCCTCCCCTCCTCCTCGTC